TGAAGACCTACACCGGAATCTGTGGCTATCTCTACAACATGAGTGGTAGCCACGTAAAATTCTTCTATTTAAAATTTATCATCATGCAAACATATATTAGTTTCTCTAAGTAAATTTGACTAAAAATACAGAATAATCAGGTATATAATTGTTGTACTTACCATTCCAGTACATACATTACATTCTACAACATTAATCTGACTGCTATGCCAACAGATACTTTGTATTCTGATAGTTTCAGCCTAATCCCTTGACATATATTTTTTAGACATTTAACTGTCTTACTCACCTTCACCAACTTTTATATTAGAGTTTTTAGATGCTGATCTCTGCTCAATAGAGATCAGGGAAGGAAATCTGTGATCTCCTTGGAGGAAATGACAGAATCAATAAGTACAACGTACCATATGGGTGTATTAGTTCTAAAAGGTGTGAATTTAACCCTCGTATCAGTATTTATTTATAGGTTTATCCTCAGATGCACTGCAACTGTTTTCCTTCTCAATGTGTCATTGAGTAAGTTATAAAATACCTTTAGCTACATTAATATTTTTTAATATGGCATTTGCATAAAGGGTATAAGCATCTGCTGAAATCTCTTGGGACACATGACATTTATATTGTGCTCAGGATCTCTTTGAGGTTGACTTAATTTAGTTACATTTTAAATCATTGTTAAAAGTAAATTTGAAAGTATCATCATCTATGGTTATCTAAGTTATTGGATGCCAAAGATCAGTGCTTATAACGGCTTTGCAAGGCATTTTATGCAAATTAAACGTGTGCCATTCAACTACCTATCCAATCATGGTGAAAATACACCAGTTAGGGCAGAAATAAGAAGAGTCTGCACATGGTCAAAAATGTGTCTACCTTCTTTGATATTATAAAGCGTAATTTCATCTTTAAAATACAAAATTTGTCTTTTTCTTGAGAAGAACCATGACTCATGCGAGATCCAGTATGGATAATCTGAATAGAAAGCTTTCTGAAGCCTGATGAAAAATCAATCACTGTTGTCTAAAAGCATAAATATGAAATACTTGAAAAATAACAAACTTGAATATTTTCTATTTTGCAAAAGACACCAAGATAGATTATATTTCTAAGTTAGGAATGACCTTTATATTTAGTATTGACTGCTTTGTAGAACATTCCTGACACTGAAGCATAGAAGAAGGATTCATCTAAACTAATGCGGATTGGCTCACCGGTTGACACAGCACCATTTTGTTGATCACAGTAAGCTGGGAATTTGGCTCCAGCAATTAATTTTTTTAACTAAATGAAAAAATAGAAAGTATTGTTTATATTGATTAATTTTTATTATATTATAAACTTGGAATCTGTCATGCAGGTTTCTGGTTCTGTGTGAACCCAGTTACCTTAGTTTACTGCATCTCCAGTTAGGACATATTATATATGCAGATTGTATGCAAAACATATTAATTAGAATGTCCAGAGCTGGACAGATTAACTCCCTGTATAGAATAGTTAGAATACAACCAGTGTAAACCTCAGAATGTACAGATTGCTTCTCCATGAGTAGAGTAAATTAGTTCTACATAATATAAAAGGTACAGAGGGCAAATAACAGCAAAATGGCAAGTCTTGTGGGGTGTTCCTGGTATGCAGGAGTTAGCACCTACCAAAAGTGGAATTAAGGACAATCAGTAAACTGTGTTGGTATCATGGGCACCCAAGGCTCATTGATTCATCTGGGGAGCGAAGGCAAGCCTGTCTGGTCTGATCCCACAGAACAGCTGCTGTAGCTCAGATTGATAAAAATAATGTCTCCAATCCACTACCGAAAGCGCCTTCAGTGTGGATGTGAGAGTCAGAATTGGACCATGGAGCAATGGTTGCCTGGTCTGATGCATCACATTTTGTATTAGATTAGGTGGATGGCCATGTGCCTGCGTTGTTTACCTGGGGAAGAGATGTTAGCAAGCAGCACTATGGGAAGTAGGCAGGCCGGCGGAGGCAGTGTCATACTCTGGGAAAAGCTCTGCTGAGAAACCATGGATCCTGCAATCACATGGATTTTACTTTGACACGTACCACCTACCTAGAGATCGTTGCAGACCATGTACACCCCTTCATGGCAATCATGTTCCATGATGACAGTGGAGTCTTTCAACAGGATAATGCACCCAGCCACTCTTCAAAATTGTTCAGGAATGGTTTGAGGAACATGACAGAGTTCAAGTGTTGTGTTGGCCTCCAAATTCCCGTTATCTCTGATTGAGCATCTGTGGGATGTGCTGGAACAACATATCTGATCCATGGGGGCCCTACCTAGCAACTTGCAGGATCTACTGTTAATGTCTTGGTGCCAGATACCATAGGACTGTCACATCCTGTTCCTAGCTGCGGATCATTCTGGCTATGGCTTCTGGTATCCAGTACTCTTTTTACAATTCTTGTTTAGTTTTTCTTGGTTTTTCTGGTTTTCTATTCTATGTCTGGTTTTCTTTATGCTGGGTTTTCTGGGTTCATTCCTGTATTCCATTCCTGGAATTCCCAGTCTCTTGGATTAATTTAAATGTTTGTTTTATGTTGCCACACCTGTTCCTTTTTCATGATTCCTTTTGTTTCAGTTGGTCCCTGCAGGCAGTTGCTCAAGTCCTCTGCCTTTTCTTGCAGGTAAGTGCTGTGTGTGTTTTACTATTGTTCATTGAGCAGACATTAGGCAGTTAGAGTAGGACCTGCCTAATATGGGGTACATTGATGTTGTGGCAGGCTTATGCAATGTCTGATCATATAATGTAACTAAATCCCTATAGTTTGTCACATATTGTTCTTGGTTATGTCTCCTCTTGTTTTGCCTACTATATCTTGTCTTGTTTTATTTTGTGTTCCCAATCCATGTATGGTCCTGTCTGGCCCCTCTTCTGTTACTGTTCCCCTTATGTATTGTGTACATGTTCTGGGTTTAGCTTCCTATCCTTCTCTGGTCCTGGGTTCTCCTAGTTTTGTCTTGTTTTCTTGTTTGGTGTCTATTCTAGTCTTGCCTTGTTTCTATACTGGATACATTCCTGATGCAGAGCCTCCCTATTCAGCTCCTGGGAGGTCTGCTTATTTCCAAGCTCCTAGTTCCTGGGATCCGCTGGAGCTGCATCAGGGTCCTGGAATGTTGCCTCACAAACGCTGGTGCTCAACACCAGGGGGTGTGTGGTTACCCTGCACCAGACCCTGCTAATCCACTTCCACACTGTGACTCCTACTTTCAACATCAGGCATACTGGGTCCCGGTCATCAGACCGCTGCCCAGACAGTGTCTGGGTCCCGATCACCGGACCGCCACCCTGACAAGGACATGTTCAGACGTCTTGTGGAGTCCATGTCTCGACACATCAGAGCTGTTTTGACAGCATGAGTGGGATTTAACGTTGTGACTGATCAGTGTACATACATAAGCTATCTCTTGTCCATCTGCAGCTCACTTATGTGTCATGAGAAGGGATTTAAGGGATCAGTGAGCTGCTGAGTCATAACCCTGCTGTTACATTGATATTTAAAGGGACACTATAGTCACCAGAACAACTACAGCTTAATGTAGTTGTTCTGGTGAGTTTAATCATTATATGCAGGCATTTTCATGCAAACACTGCCTTTTCAGAAAAGGCAGTGTTTACATTGCCCCTAGGGACACCTCCAAGTGGTCAACCCTCAGATGGCCACTGGAGATGCTTCCTGGCTCAGTGCTGCACAGTAGGCAGCTCTGCCGTTCAGCATCCCCACGCTCTGCATGGGGATGCTGAGTTTTCCTCATAGAGATGCATTGATTCATGAGGAGGTGCTGATTGGCCAAAATGGTGTTTGCCCCTTGCCGATTTTAGCCAATCCAATGCTTTCCCCATGGGAAAGCTTTGGATTGCCTACAAATCATCAATTCTGATTATGTCAACAAGGGGGCAGACCTGTACGGTGCTGGAAATAAGGTGAGTTGTAATAGTTTTTAAGGGGGCTAAGCGGGGGTTAGGAGTGGGAGGCCACCTTAATGGTTGGTTTTGCATGTTTCTGTTCCTGACACTATAGTGTTCCTTTAAGAAGTTGCGCTGTACATTTAATGAATCCTTGGCTATCTGGCATCTATTCTAAGCATAACAGCACTTTGAAGAGAGCTCTATGTGTAATGAACAAGGCAGCTGCTTGGGAAAGCCCCTGCTCGATCCTTGGTTACACTCATCAAGCTCGAATAACCTACTGAGATTTGGGACTCCGCACTGACAGTGTGCATCACATATAGCCAGCATATTACACAATAAAAAATTTGAAAACATGATTTGTGCAATAAATAACAGTCAGATAGTATTTATATTTATAATATATATATCCCTAACTTTTAAAAATCATGTACTATAAAAGGTACAGAACAAGGAAGCATATCTTATGGAAAAATATTGACACTGATTGAGAGCTTCAAGGGATATTAGAACCTTCAGGCTTTGTTTAGCAATGTCTACAGAACCTCTAAATGACATAATTCACCCCAATGCACGTCTGAGTAATTTATGTTTTTTATGATATTGTATTAAAGTTAGTGCTTGGGTGAAGATTATTGCCAAGGCTTCTATCGGGCAGCATTAGAAGCAATGCATTGTTCTACACTATGGCACTGAGAATAGAAAAAAAAGTAAATCAATAAATTGATACATGCTGGTATCTGCATGTAATCAGACTCTCACATCATTCTAATAAAATAATTTGAATAATTCATTTTAAAAGTAAGGCCAAGTTGACCAGGTAGGGGGCCCCAAAAAAGTGTTACTACTCCTTCCATTGATGCTCATTTTGAAAGTGTCAGAGATATGGCAGCCAGATTCCTAGTCTCCTGACATGTTTTATTTTGACCATTTAGATAGAAGGAACACTTCAAATACTTTTATTCCTGACTTTGGCATGTATATTTAAATAATATAACATATATATTTTTTTTGTTTTATCATATTTGGGCCCACACACTATTGACTATTAGTGTGAGCAGTGGCGTACCTACCATGGTCGCAGGGGTTACAGCTGCGACCAGGCCCCTCACTACCAGGGAGCCCGGCCACAGCTGTGACCCCTGCGACCGTGGGCCGCTTGGATACCTTATGGCCTGGTGCACACAGTTCCTGGGTGTCTGGCAGGAGGGAAGAGCTATGCTGTACTGCTCCCCTCCTTCCTGTGTGAGCGTGGCCGAGCGGTCTGACAGGAAGGGCTCACTGTGAGAGCACTTTCTGTCAGACCAGGAACTGCAGCAAACCATGTACAGGATGGGATGGGGAAGAGATGGAGGGTATGGGACACAGGGAGGTGTGGGGGAGAGAGGGATAAAAGGGATACAGGGAAGGGAGGAGGGATAGAGGGAGAAATGGGACACAGGGAGGGGAGGAGGGGAGAAATATGACAAAAGGAGGGGAAGGGAGGAGGGGGGGGAGGGGGATAAATAGGACACAGGGAGGGGAGGAGGGAGAAATTAAACAATGGGACACATGGAAGAGAGGGGAGAAGGGAGAGAGAGTATAGGACACATGGAAGGGTGGGGAAGAGGGAGAGATGGAACAATGGGACACGTGGAAGAGAGGGGAGAAGGGAGAGAGGGTATGGGACATATGAAAGGAAGGGGGAGAGAGGGAGGGTATGGGAGACATGGAAGGGAGGGTAGGAGGAAGAGAAGATATGGGACACATGGAGAGGATGGGGAGAGAGGGAGGAATGGGACACATGTAGGGGAGGGGGGAGAGTGAGAGGTTATGGTACACATAGAAAGGGAGTGGGAAAGAGGGAAGAATGGGACACATGGAGAGGGGAGAGAGGGAGGAATGAGACACAGAGAGGGGCTTGGGGGTTGAGGGAATGAGACACATGGGGGGGCCTGGGTGTGGGAATGAGAAATATAGGAGGGGGCCCCAGAGCAATTTTCGCACTGGGGCCTGGTGGATTCTAGTTATGCCTGTGAGGGTAGGTTGGGTTATTATTTGAGGAGTTGGGTAGTAGACCCCTAGGAACTTGGCTTATAAGTGCTCATATGGTATGTTAATTATGGGCCAGGAGACCGGCCATATACTGGCCCTTGATGGAGTTAACTCATTGATGGGGGTATAAATAAAATGGGCCTGGAAACTCTGCTTCTTTTGACGCACCTATCAGGACCAGGGTGCTAGTGAGCCACTCATCCTGTCCCACATCAGAGCATTGGAAGTAGTAGGGACCACCTATTGCCTCCTATCTAGTTGTAGTCGGGTCAAATAGTGTTCATGCTTTTTACTTCTTAATTATTTATTGGAAATACAGATGATCATCTCTTTCAGTGTGAGGAAGCTGTTCTGCATTTTTTGCTGGGGTCTCACTAAACGCATATACCACTTTATTAGTTTATTTTCCTAATCTCTGCTGCAACTATTAAAGGGTTCATTTTACTGATGTAGTGAGTTATCTAACGTAGAGAGACCTTAGAGTTGATCTCAATAGATGAAGCTTTTATGCTGAGTTCTATTTAAGCTTGTGAAACCGTGATGCCATTTAAATGGCATTGTGATTTCTATGACTTTCTATGGAGCAACCACATTCTGTTTGGAAAATCTAACCCCTTAAGGACCAAACTTCTGGAATAAATGGGAATCATGACATGTCACACATGTCATGTGTCCTTAAGGGGTTAAAGGAACACTATAGTGTCAGGAACACAAATATCCATTCCTGACACTATAGTGGTAAAATGACTATTTAGGTCCCTGGTCCCTTATCTTTACAGTAAAAAGGTGATTTTACCAACCTGTTTTCCACATCATGCCAGTTTCGCCGTGGCTGACCCAGTGTCACTCCACCTCTGTGGCTGTGATCATCACACTTGATGATCTCAGACAATCCAATGCTTTTCCATAGGAAAGTTTTGGAGGGCAACTGCGCATGCACAAAAAAACACCATGCTGTGCCACGTCAATCAGCATCTCCTCATAGCAATGTATTGAATCAAAGCATGTCTATGGGGAAAGTTCAGTGCCTCCATGCTGAGCGCCAGTGCTGCACTCTGTGAAGCAATGACACAGGAAGTACCTCTAGTGGCCGTCTGAGTGACTGCCACTAGAGGTGTTGATAAGCAGTAATGTAAACACTGCCTTTTCACTGAAAAGACTAATTAAAGGCTGGTTGACAGCAAACCCCCTCAAGCAGACAATGCAGGGAGTGCTGCTGAAATGCTTAATGCATTGTCCTAGCACATTTTCCATGTTAAATCAAACTGTGGGACAGGTTCATGGGACCTAGTTTTGCTGGAACATTGCTCTAAAATACAGGACTGCCCCAGCAGATTCGGAATTCTTGGCATGTATGGTGTGCATGAAAAATATTTTATGCATACATTTGCTAGAAGTTTCTATGGAAAAATACATTAAAGAAAACATTCTCTCCATAAAGTGAAATCATGTTGTTTCTGCATGACAGATGCACTTTAGAAAGCAGCGTGTGCACTGAAACTCGGTACCTATCTGTCCTGGTTTGTGGAGTCATTTTTTTTTTTACTAGTGCTGCATCAAAAACTCAGCGGCACGCTTGACAAAATGAAAATGTATGTTTGCTTGGCTTCTGCAGTTATTGCATTGCAGGTGCTGGGAGCGCTGATGTCAAAATATTGGGCTTTTCAAAAAGTATATTTATGTTCACTTCAATCAAGGGAATCTTCACTATGTGACACCGTCTCTGTCTTTTAATCTTTCTGGCACACCGTGATTAGATGCTCAATGCAGACTAATTATCTGAGAGCTTTCGAAACACAGAAATCTCCCAACATTGGCTTTAATCATCCTCTTTGCTCAGATCTTTATTGTTCAAGTGCTACATTTTTTTCTTTTGCTTTGCTGCCCTTCCCACGCCAAAATAAGAATCTTGGAGTTATTTACTAAACCATGACTTCTGTTGAGTTAATATGAATTGAGAGCCACGTTGCATAATTTAGACCTAAATTTCTGAGTTAGTCGATGATCTGAGTTTGAGAATTTTTGTAGATGACGTAAGAATTTACAAAATATTGTGCAAAATTGCCAAGAATTGTCCAAATCAGCTAAACTTAAAACAATGAGCCTTTCTTTTTTAAACAGTATAGAGAACCGATCAATGAGTAGTCTTGTTCTCTATATCTGCTTAGAAGGCATGGTAAACGGATCACACGTATAAGAATTGAAATGCATGCAAACGATATATTTTTTTTTTTGTAGTATCTATCCGTAGAGAAATATAACTCCTTCACCAGTTTCTAATGGCTCTTTGCTAAGCTGAAGTGTGCGTGAGTGTTTTTCCCCTATAACAGTATTTTAGCCTAGATAAATGCAAGTCAGTCAAATGTGCGGCCACATAAATTATCGGAGCGTTGTGGCAGGCTGTTTGTAAATCCTGAATATTTATAGACTGCGCTATATGAGTTATGGCTCTTGTACTCTGGAATCTGTTACAACGTTACTCTGTTTTGTAAGCTTGCACACAAATCTTAAAATCCTTAACCCAAAAACTAAACAAATAAGAGGGAAAATATCAACAGCAAATCGAATTGTCTTAGAAGAATAAGACATGCAATAAAAATACTGTTGTAAAACAGAGATAGTTTTTTTGTTGTTGACATTTGTTCTTTTTCTTGGCTTCTCAGGGTAAACGGAGATAGTCTCAGTTTGAATGGGCAGAATCTCAGGGTCTCTGAATTTTAAACTTATTTATTCATATTACACAACGGTCTGCCGAGCCTTCAATACCTGAATCCAATAAATGTAACACCTGCCTAGAAACAGCAGAGTCAATGCAGGTATTTTATTGCACCAATTATGTCTGGATCATTTGAACAGGATCATTGAATATGTGTGAATAGCAATAAAAGGGTTAATGTGCTGAAGGGTCTGAGAGTTGGCTCATAATGCATTCCCATCTCTGTTCACATTTAAATGAGAGATTTGGGGCTTATATCACAGCTCTACATGAGCTACAACACAGTGTGAAGGACCCTATTAGCTTCCTCTGTAAATGCTTCCAACACTTTCCTGTTACAGATCGATATTTCAAAATTGATATCTCCTTGCAATTTATTGTGTGCACTGAGGATATCGGTTGAAATTCACAGGTTTCTTCACCTACTGTTAAAGAGACTGGAAATAAAACTTGCTTAGTTTAATAAGAAAATATACACGTGTCTTTTTTATCTGATTATCATTTTAAATTTTTTTTATTTTATTGTTCTGTTGCATCTTTATGAAAGTATTTCCTTCCTTTCTTCTAATTATTTTCATAATTATTATCACTTATAATGTGCCAACAAATTCCACAGCACTGAACAATGGGTGGACTAACAAGCAAGTATTTGTAACAAGATTAGTTGGACGCACAGCGACAGAAGGTGTTAAGGGCTCTGCTCAAGTAAGCTTACATGCTTCTAAAGCTCACTTCAGGAAATGCTAGCAGTGGTTGCATAGGGAGAGGTATTAGCAGTAGAAACACTGGACACTGGTGAGACCTCACTTGGAGTATTGTACGCAGTACTGGAGACCGTATTTCCAGAAGGATATTGATACCTTAGAGAGGGTTCAGAGAAGGGCTACTAAACTGGTTCATGGATTGCGGGATAAAACTTACCAGGAAAGGTAAATGGATCTTAACATGTATAGCATGGAGGAAAGACGAGACAGGGGGGATATGATAGAAACATTTAAATATATAAAGGGAATCAACACAGTAAAGGAGGAGACTATATTTAAAAGAAGAAAAACTACCACAACAAGAGGACATAGTCTTAAATTAGAGGGACAAAGGTTTAAAAATAATATCAGGAAGTATTACTTTACTGAGAGGGTAGTGGATGCATGGAATAGCCTTCCAGCTGAAGTGGTAGAGGTTAACACAGTAAAGGAGTTTAAGCATGCGTGGGGTAGACATAAGGCTATCCTAACTATAAGATCCAGGGACTAATGAAAGTATTTAGAAAATTGGGTAGACCAGATGGGCTGAATGGTTCTTATCTGCCGTCACATTCTATGTTTCTATATTTCAGTTATTTGCTTAATTTAGGAATAAATATGGAAGTCCCTTCACATGACCACACTCAATGTTTAAAAATACGTTA